TTACTATGGAATGTTGCAATGTTTGCGATTGAAGCTTGTCCGAGCTTTTCTAGACTTGACAGTTGCGTCTAAAAATGTTAACACGAGCTGTTTCTTTCCTGATGAACAGGATACGCTTGTGTGCCTGCAATACCTTTTTTATCAGTAGTTTTAGACGCTAACTCTCATCGGTATTCAGACGACACCCTTCTCCCACCTGCTCTCCCTCCCCACAAATTATCTTTGATCGGCAATGCGTTCATTAATGAACGTGTAATGCGTAACATAATCGTAAGCAGCTGTAATGACCATGTGATTGCGAATGCAAGAGGCTCAGTTCGTATTGAAGAACAGTTGTAGAGGCAGAAAGTCATGGTTATCTAAGCCTTGCAGTCGTTTTCACTAACGTTTTTGAATTTCAAGAAATGTTCCATTATATCGTAATTGAACACCATAATCTCATTTCAAGAAAATGTGATTTTATTTCAATCTCAACCAACGGAGCTCCTTACACCCAAAGAGATTAAAAACATAATAGTCTTGACCACAAACTCAATCCCTTTCCCTGCGTGGTTCGTCGCACGAGTCGATAGAAATCAGCGGGAGAAAAAATCCCAGCTTACACGAACTCTGGGAAGCAAAGATCTCCCACATTAATTTCAATCTGTCGTTTCTTGCCCGGTGCACGCGAATGAAGTGTTAATTTTCCAAATCTGAACCTATGAGATGTATCTCTGGAACTAGAGATAAGTTGGAGGAATGAAAATTGGCTTTATTTCATGGTGAATTGACCCATGATTGCCAACTGAACGGGAAGCACACACGATACTTTCTAAGAGAGCTAATGTTGTCTCTCCGTTGACATTCAACAAAGCCACATCCTGCATCACTAATGCAAGCAAGCAAGCAACTTATTCTATTGCGTAATAAACTGATAAGTAATAATTAGATGGTCGGTTTTTGTCTGCGGTTGACCTTTTTCCTATGAGGACTGTTGTTTTCCAGCGAATAAACCAACGACGGTGCTTACTGTGTACTCAAAGCTGTTTTCAGGAATGTTTTGTCCTTTGTGTCGGAGAACCACACCACGAAGACAACTTCCTGTTATTTTTTACAAACGCACATGCTGATAACAATCTCCCCAGTAAATTTGCTGTAAATCCAGAGGGTACAATTGTACTTTCTTAATTGAAACGTTTCCAAAACAGACTTAAAGTGGGTTAAGTTCAAACTTTCTACCAGAAACGCGACTCCTATGTTCAGAACTCTAGTTCAGTAGGGGAGAAAATGGCGCGTTTTGGTTTTCGCGCGAATTCATCATTGAATCATGGGTAGGGGAGGTGTTGTTTCTCTTCTTATTCCACCTGAGACAGGCCTTCTCTAGGACCTTAAGTCGCCAAAAGTCACTTGACGTCGCCTTAAATTGCCTAAAGTCAACTCAATTCGAAGTAAGGCAAAAGTAAATTTCTGAATTTTATGGGTTAAGCAAGTGCGGGAGCTAATCGTAAGCGAGAGAAAAAACGCGCGAAGCATGGAAACCAGCTTACGATTGGAAAGGAATTGTTGAAGAATCAAAATGGTGGAGACCAATAAATATTGTCCACTTTGCCATTTACTGTGCATCCGTTTGTGATCCATTATTTTCTGGAAATTTTTTAAGTGATAATTGACTTCTACACCGGTAGCTCTGTCATCAGCCTCAACAGTAACAATTATCAAATTTTGTTTTGATAAAATTTTTGATGAAGTGAACGTATAAAAATGGAACATGCTCAATGACTTTGATTTCACGCCTTTAGTGATAACTTCTTTAAGTCATTTAGTGGATTATCTGCAAAAGGCGTCATATTCTTAATTTTTGTCGAGAAACTCTGTACAGCATCATTAAAGCAGGTATAATTTCTCATGCCGTCTTCCGTGTCGTGTAGGATGTGACACACTGATTTAGCTTTTAACAAGGACAACAGTGTTGTTATCGAGCAAGTACTACAAGTGATCATTTCATCTGAAGCTTCTGTTTGAAGACTTTTGTTGCATACCATACAATGGGCTGTTTCTTTTAATGTCAACACCAATACATTAGCCTGTAAGAATGTTTTCCTTCAGTTCTGGGTTATCGATATTAATATTGTCCATTTCATCAACTTCATAAAATACAGTTGATTCATTTGAATTGACAAATTTAATATCACCAAAGGTGCCTACTGTGAGATGTTTCAAGAGGTAGCTTTTGCCTGTAGTTACTTTTTTGATTGTGTTTTCCCAAAGGACAAGCATCATGGACTGTTTCATCAGCTGTCATGCAGTCAACTTTGTATTAAATCCTGTCATTGTGTATAATGACCTGCTTGTTTTCACTTTTTGAGACTATTTTTACTTTGAAGTCTACTGTTTGGTACACATTTGCATTCAAGGCATTGCTACAGTAAGCAGGTTGCTGACATATGATTCATCAAAGGTAAATTCCACTGTAGCAGGTGTAATTTTTGCAGACTTGATTATGGTGTACTCTTCTTTATCTGAGGTAGTTCTTTTCGTGGTATTTCTTTTGGTTCCCGTAATCCTTATTGGTGATCTTTTCTCATATGCTTGTTCCAGTTAATTGGCTCTTATGGAGAGTTAACGCACCAAACGTACAGCATCATTTTGATCAGTTTTGAGATGACAATCAAAATAGTTGGTAGTTGAATTTTTGACTGTCTTTAAAGGGTTCAGCTTATTAATATATAGCTTTCAAGAACTGAAATTGAGAGCAAATTAATGAATTATCAAAAGGTAGAATTTATCACTTGAGTATATCTCTAATATTCAGTTGTAATGCATATTTTATTACGAAAATCAATCAGTTTGAAAAGAAAAAAAAAGGAAGATCAAAAGAAAGGAAACAAATTTATTAAAAAGGAAACATTAGTCATCTACAATGAGTTTTTCTAACCTGTCTGAGAAGGTTCTTCTTGATTTTCACTTGTTGCATTTTGAGCCTTGTTTTTAATGAAAATTGAAGATTCAATAATTTAGATTAATTAAAGAGGATATTAATTTCAATTATATTGCAAATTTATAGTTATGAGGTACTGTTAAGTGGTAGTATAAAAGTGACCTACTTTGAATTTGAAGGCTCCTGATCCATTTTGATGAGAGACTATTTGATAACAAATAAAAAGTGTTCACCCTTGATTAGATTTGAATCCCTTTCAAACAATGCTGCTATTGTTGAGATCAGGAAACAAATAATTCCCTTTGCTAAATGAAACTTGTCTTTTGAGACACAAATAATTCCTTTTGGATAATGATTTTAACAATTAAAATGCCTTTCCACACAAGTTATTCACAGCCTGAGGCTAAAACAAATGTCTTTGATTTAGAGTCTTTGATGTCTCTGCAAACAAGCACCTACATGTATAAGACAGCATTGAAAGAATCAGACCAAAATATTAGACAATTTAAAAACTCCCAAAAGTGACTGATTCATGTAACTTCTCCCTATAAAATCCAAACACTATCCAGCAAACAGATAATGATAATACTGGAACTTATCTGGCAGAAGTTATCTTGATCTTATATCAAATTCTCATAACTTATTTACAGGTAAATGTGTGGCAACTAGAAGGGAGAATTAACAACCAGATCTTGGGTATTTAAGGGTTAAAGGAAGAGAACAGAAATGCTTCCTCTATTGATCTCAACAATGCAAGTCCTTTGCACACATTTAAGTTTCTGTCAGTGATAAACATTCTGTGAATTGATATTCCATTCTTATTCTCTGTGAATTAAGGATGAGGGTAACTATTTTTGCAAAATTAGTACAAATTTCCTATTAGGTACCTGAATTGTTTTAAGTTCAATATAGTTTATTTTATTCCGGCAATAAGTCAATAAGTCAAAAGTCTCACGTGTGCGCGGTTGCATGTCCAATATGGCGCTGGGAACTGTAAAAAGATCTATTAGACATGGTTTGAAGCTACTCTGGTTTAAAGATTTAATGAATGTAATCGAGAAGTTACAACTCATAGACCCAACGTTTCAACACTCCTGTCTAGTGCTTTCAGGAGGGGTGATCTAAACGTTGCAACAAGAGGTCGTTTTAAACGCTTACTAATTCTGACGAAGTGTAACCGAGTGTCAGAAAATGAGTTGTCATCATTACGCTTTGAAGGAGCGTGGGCGGAGTTAACAAAGGTTGCTACGCAACCAATAAACATAAAAAATGTGGAGTCATAACGACAGAGACCCTACTTTGTAGAAATAATTCTCTACGAGCAAAGAACACGAGTCTGTGAAGTAAGTTGAAATTCTTTAATTTAATAGTATATAAGAAAAAAGTAATCGAGTAATCACATGATTTCGAGTGCAATTTGGAATAATTAAGCACGCGTAAATTTTTTTAAAGACTAACAAAATTGCACGAGCCCGTAGGGCAAGTGCGATTTGTGGTCTTTGAAAAAATTAACAAGTGCTTGTTTATTCCAAATTGCACGAGAAAAATCATGTGATTACGTGTTGATAATATACATGGAAAAATACGAAATGGCTTATCATAATTAAACATAAGAAAAGCGCGCGTATCAAGTGCAAAAATAATTTATTCAAACCGTGCGTTCGGTCAAAACAACCGCGTACGATCAAAACAATAGTATGCAATGATATCTTCACATCTTAAAGGTGCAAAAACGTTTAAAGACCGGCTAAACAGTTCAAAGAATTGTTCAGTCTGTGTCCGAATCACTTTCGATGAAATGGAATCGTCGTTTTCGAGGTTTTACCATGTTTGTTTTTAATTTCGGCGTTGGATCGCTCGAACAAAGTGTTAAGCTGGGTCGGCTCGTAATTTTCGATTTCCTCGGCAATTCCCTTCTCTAAACACCACTTTTTCCAAACCGACAACCAAAGGCCAGTGCTTTTTACAGTGTTTTCGTTGTTTAAGCTGTTTATCAGCTGCGGTGGCGAAAGAAAATCTACTTAAAACGCCGGCCATTGTTTCGCTCGCAAATTTTCAAATTTTCAAATTTTCAAATTTTCAAATTTTCAAATTTTGTTGCGACATCCAAGGCTCGCATTTGATTGGCTATCTGTGAGTTTCTTTGATTATTGACCAATCAGAATGTCTGATTTGTTTCTTTCTTTGCACTGAGTTAACCCTCTTCTGCACTGAATTAACTCTCTGCTGCACTGAATTACCTGAAAACTCTGACATAGATTGTAGACGATCAAGCTTAAAATTTTTAGCAAACATTGGTCAAATCATGACTTATTAGTGAATCAACTAAAACTCTTACGGCCATGGCCATGATGAACTAGACTCAACCCCATGTAATCACTTTTGAATAAATCACTGAGGACACATCAGAATGAGAACTAAGGGATCATTGGAAGTGAATTCATAGTTCAGTGTGATGAAAAAAATTATGCTTTGCTTCTCACAAAGTAAAATCATTTTTCAAAATACTTTTTTATCTTGACAACACAAATTTTGACAAAATATTTATGAAAATGCAGCTGAAATATTTGCTGAACTTAAATAACACTTGTAACTTCAAAATGATGTTGGCAGTTTGGCATCTTGCTAACACGAGAAAAAAAAATTGAGGGAAAAATATATCCATTGATGGTTGTTTTCAAATTTCTTCCTTTGGTGATTGTTCAATCACAATAAAAATAAGAATTAACCTATTTTCAAATGTGATGTCAATTTTGGAAAGAATGAGAGGAAAAATGCTCAAACCCAAGAATGCAAAATTATTCAGTCAAGTGCATGGAACAAAACTAAAGAAAACACAGAGAGCACACAGTCAAGCATGCTTTTGAGCTTCATTACTTACATTTGAAGTTCAGATAAGGGTGCACTGTTTATAAGAAGGTCAAATGTCATACTTCCACATGGTAGACCAATGGAACCTTGGACATACAGGTTTTCTTAATTAGTATTACTTTCATTGCACCATTGAAAGCATCAGTTGATGCCCTAAGTTGTTACCTGTGATAATTTCACAGGCTGTTTATTAACCCTTTAGCTCCCATGAGTGACCAAGACAGAATTTCTCCTTACAGTATCAATATAATATCAAACAGACAATTGATGAGAATAAAGAAAAATCTTAATTAGGGGATCATTAGTTGATCCAATACCAAATTCTCTAAACTAACATCACAAGACTATATTTCAGACAGTAAGGAGAACTACTAATGAGATCTTGGGAGTTAAAGGGTTAATGGAATTACCAGTAATGGGGAGTTTGTTGAAATGGTATACAAAAAAGCTAGGTTTTTAAAAAAAAAAAAAAGGGAAAAACAGAACCAAATTCTGGAAATTTGTTTATCAGTGTTTCATTTTTAAGCTGGATGTTTTGTTTGATAAAATGAAAATACTATAAAAGGTGTAGACAGAAATGTCATTGCTGCCCAATTCTCCACAGCTCATACACTTTCAGTTTATTTTTAATTTCCTCCTTGCAAATTTTGAACTCAGCTGCAAGTAACACAGCCACCAATCAAGGCACACTGAAAAAAAAAAAGAATAAAATTTGTCTGTTATTGTCCTCTCTAAAAGGAACATGTCGTGTAATCAGCCTTTGTTTATATCAATCAATGTGTGGGTTGGAGAGATAAAAGTCTGAAGGTGTTTCTTAAAAGAGAGAAATGGTTTCTAGAAGATGGCTTTGTACCAGCATGCCAAGATTTGTTCTCATTTTTAAGCTGCAAGCATTAGGAATGTGAGAGAGCTTGTGAATACTATGCTGCCACTCTAAGGACAGGAAATTCCTTGGGCTCTATTGTCTGTGCAACTAACTTACAAGACAAATGACAAAAGCAAGAGAAATTATTTTAATATTGATTTTATCCACTAAGGGAAGTATGAACTTATTGGTAGGTGATTTGCAATTTCAGTGAATGAACTAGTCTATGTATCATTTAGTACTAGCATAAGTTGATCTAAAAGGCATATAGATTAAAAACAGAAAAGAAACAAAAAAAGAGGATTGAAAATCTTTCCTCACTGTAGGCTCAGTTTGTGGCAACAAGTTCACAGGCAATTTTCCAAATCTTCCACAAACATTTTCATCAATGTCTTGAGGCTAGTTTCCAATTTACTAGTAGACATTTAGATGCAAGTTCTCTCCCTAACAAATAAAGAGCTATACCTGCCCAATCCTTTTTAATAATTTTGATTAACAAAATAAGAGTAATAATATACCAAAAAATCCGTTCCCAAGTGTTAATAATCAAGAAGACTGTTACAGCTGATTGTCAAAAAAATAGTTTAAAAAAATCCAGAGGTCCAATGGTACAGTCCTTACATACCGCCTTCAAATATTTTGATTCCTCAAGTTTTGAAACGGTTTTGGCGTGCAAATGCACTCGCTGGGATTACCAATAAAGATAGCTGAGATTTGGGATGGAAAATCATCTTTCTTGGACTTTCACCGATGTTCTTAAATACTTAAGAAAAGCGATGTTCTGCAGGTTTGACTTTGGAACGTAGTTTTTTTTCTATCATATCAGTCGTCGATGTTCTGCGGGGATCTACCCTGAAAGACTCTGAAAGTCTTGTTCCTTCCAATTTTTATTTGTTTTGTTAGGAGTGAAACCACTTTCGCGACAGGCATATAGATATCTACACTGGTTAGGTCTCTGAAGAAATCTAATCTTGCTCAAATTCCGTGCGCCGAATAACCAAGAGAAAGTTCGCGCAAGGCATCCCTGGCTAGTTAGACCTCGCCTACTTTGGTTTTGGCTGAACTGCAGAATACCCTGCCATTCATTTACATGTCATTGAATAGGTATAGCGTCTATTGTGTTATGCCTCGACCTTACAAGCCTCCTGACACATGTAAACGAGGTGGACTAAAGTAGCAAGGTATTCTGAAGTTTCTCAAGGTTTTACTTTGTGGGGAAGGGTACGGCTACACGAAGGCTGTGTTTTATTTAGACATCACGTGGCAAGTACGTGTAATGCACTCGACCATCCACGTACGTAAATCATGTTCTGCGATGGGGAGTTACTACATCACGGGCGACGAGCGGGGATAGAAAAAACGACCCAAATACGAGTGGTCAGCAGTGAAACAACTTTAATACTTCATATATAGACAGATCATTTGTAATATCAGGAAACAATCGTGTTGTAAAGCCGAAGCGTAAACAGGTTACTTCGCTAAATAAAATGTTAAGCAATTCAAAAGTGTTGATTGTACATATATCTTTTACTGCTTCAATAAACAATGAAGGCATCGGTGGCATCCGAAAGGTACTAAGAAGAATTAAATGTACGTTTTGTAGTTGCAGAAAACAATCGTGTTGTAAAGCCGAAATGTTACCAAGTTACACTTCGCTACTTAAAAAGTTAAGCAATTTTCCTCAAGCTTTAACTGGAACAATACCTTTAATGCTCTATTAACCAACGGAGGCATCGGAAAAGGCATTGGTGACACCGGGAAAGGCATCAAGAAGAATGATATTAACGTTATGTAACTTGTTGTGTGACGAAAAAAACGTATCTTGACTTGTTCAAAGCACTAATCACAGTTAGCTTCCTTTTCATTTGAATTTTGTATCCACAGCCTAAGATGAGAAATTTAAAATTTCTATCAGCTGAACTTCTTTTACTGCATATTATATCTATTCAATCGCCCCCAATTCACGTGGAAAAAATGCAAGTAGGAAAACACTGAATTACAGCCATGTTAAGGCTAATGTATTTACCATTCCTTAAATATTTATAATCAAGACCACTCGTTTAGGAGACCTTTTCTCAAAAGATCCACACGTGCAAATAATTCTGTTTTCCGTTCGAAATGTTTTTCTTCCTATTCAATTGAACAACTGACTTTGCGTTTAAGCCGAGAAAAAAATCACAAAGTTTGAATTCTGGGATGTTGTCCACTGTTGGCTCCATCAAGTTACGATTCTGCACCATTGACGCTCGTGAAAATCTATCTTAATTGACTACCAAGGACTGTATTTCTTATCTTGCAAATTAAGGTCTGTACATGATATTAAGTTCATCATCTGGTTCATTGTTATAGTCAGCTTTAAAATTTAAACTCTACTTGTACTGACAAGAAGCCACCCTAAGGGCAGGTGAAATGTTGCGTAAGCGTCTCCGCGAAAGGCACATCCAGACAACTTGCATGGAAAACCTGGCCACAGCTATCGCACCCAAGCCAATCCTCTCCATCGTCGTCTTTGCAAATCTTACAGACCGCGGTATTTCTCCTATAATTGAACAAAAGATATGGGACGTCAAAGAGATCTTCGGACTGACATATGAATTCAGCCACAACCTTGTATCCCACGTTGGTATGTACACAAACGAAAAAAAGAGGAACTGCGTACCTTGTCGTTTTGTACGTGGCGTCCATCAGGGCCAGTTCACTACCATATCTTTCAAGCATTCGTTGTTGCCATGGCTCTTGATGTACAAAGAGGAAGGTTTCCTCAGGAGATCTAGGTCTTGGTTCATCTTTTTCGTTAATGACAGCGTCTCTGGTACGGTAAAAGAAGCTGCTTTTGGGAGACTTAGTTTGCCAATCTTCTATTTTTTTACCCAATGCTTCTTGGTCGTCATCGCAATACTTCACTGCTGAAATCGCCTTGGCAATGTGGTTTCGCAAGTCCTGGCGACAAGGGTAGTATCGCCTATTTGTTTTCTTTGGCCTTCGTTCCTCGGGATGGCCGAAAAATAGATCCTCCCGAACATATTTATCAAGAGACCTTTGCACCTCAGAAAGGTTAGTTATGTTTTGCTTTACGAGGTCGTAGATTTTGTCAACTACACGTTTATCGACGTATTGTCCTATCTTGGACGAGTCCCCGACAGGGTGGTTGACATGGGAAGAGCTTAACGGGATCTTCACGTGAAACCGAGTCGAAGTACGGAAACTAAACCCTCTAAAGTCACTCTTCGATTTGGCATTGATTTCTTTTAGAATAGCCTTCTTAGCCATCACCAAGCTATTATCTGATAGGAACCTTGCTTTGTCGATGAAGTAATCGTTGTACACCCGAATACATCGAATCTGCATGACTGCCGGGCAATCCAATTTTCTCGAATTCTGCAAGTGTATTCTAGTTTTTCTTGCATAGTCGTGTACATTAGCGTAGTCACTCTTGCAGGTATAACTTCCTCGGGCATCCTAATTGGTACAGAAGATTTTAATACAGGTGTGTTCTACGAGAGCAAAATGAAATTACATTCTTCTCCCAGCTGCGATATCATCTGTGATTTTTACTGACTTCACTACTATTGCCAACACTCTTCCCCCTCATATTTATTTGGGTAAATTGGTTATGAAACATATAACTTAAAACTCCTGTAACATTTTGATCCTCGTAAAAAGAAAATTAATCAGTCCATTTGAATAAGCTTAAATTCAACCTCCTGACTCTCAGTTTCCGTTATCATTTCTCGATTGACCTCTTTTTTTACTTAAAATTTGAATGTTTGCTAATCCATTTACTGTAATTGTAACCAACCTTTGTGGATCCATGTATACAATGTCGAGTTTCACTGCTAGAGATTGAAAAGGGGTGGCCAAACAACTGTATGGGGACATTTCCGCGGTTGTTTTCAAGTACGGGAGGTGCTGTCAAATGAAATCAGATGGAGTTGTTAAGCAACATGCCTTATTTTCGGTTTAGGTGTAAAGGTGTCAATAAGAGCCAGACCTTTGACCCAAACCTTTGCACCAAAGCCACTGTCCGCTATTTTTAAACCAAATAGACCTTTTAGGTAGAGATAAATGAATAAAAAAAAATAACAACAGTAATAACAACAAACACAAAGAAACTAAAATGAAATATAAATAGGTAGTTCAGACGCAGCATCTCGCAAATCGCGTAAGACTGCCTTTGAAGAAATTTACCATAAACTCTGAAAGACGGCGATTCTTCTCAATTAAATTATCCCAGAATTAGGAGAGTCAGGATAGGAAACCGAGATCTGTGCACTTTAAAATACTGAGAGATTATATACCTGTTTGAGAAAATCTGTTGTGGTTTTTCTCTTTTGAGTAGCTTTCTGTAAGTACATAACACGTGGAGTTCAATGCCTGAAATGAAACTAACAGATCATCCATCTCTGCTCTGTTTCCCTCGAAATATCCAAAACAATAATTGCCTTCAATAGAAAAGCCATTGAGATGTTCTTTCAAAAAGTCGATCTCTAAATCTCTTAACATTGTCGGCTTTTGGTCTTCATCCATGGCAAAATCTTCCAGGAAAAGCAAACTACAGTGCGAAAACCAAGTTCCTGCCAAATTTGATTGACATTTTTGACAACCGGAAATCATGATACTTTTTTTTCGTCACGCACGTCACGCAGCTAGCTACAAACCATACATATAATTATTCTTGGTGCCTTTCCGAATGCCACTGACTCCCTCTCCGAAGCCTCCATTGTTTATTAAAGCAGTAAAAGATATGAGTTCAATCAACACTTTTGAAAAATTGCTTAAACTCTGAAGTAAACTCTTAACATTTCGGCTTTACAACACGATTGTCTCTGGAACAACAAATTATATGTCTCTATATGAGTTATAAAAGCTGTTTCACCGCTGACCGCTCATATTTGGGTCGTTTTTTCTATCCCCGCTTGTCGCCCGTGATGTAGTAACTCCCTCTGCGATGTCTTTGTGTTCCTCATGAATCAGCTCACTCAAAGACTTGCATTCAGTTGTGTTTGAAGAGAGGTAAATTTTGTATCTAATAAGTCTATGTGTAGTTGTAGTTCTGCATTTTCTGTCAGAAGTTTATCTATATTTGCGTAAATGACAGTGTTAGCTGCTGTCGTGAATTGTATGCAAAAGCTAGCCAAAAAGTGAGCGTATCCTGAAATGTGAAGTTTGTTTTAGTGCTTTAATTTATGGGGTATATTTTAGTAAACAATTGTATTCCAAGGTGAACGAAACTGAAAAAAAAAGGAAAAAAAAAAAACCTCAAAACAACAAGAAAGCACTCTCTTATCTTTACCGCCACTTGCCTCAGGGTAGTTATTATAATTATATGTGTAATTTGGATTCAAGCCAAGCTAACACTCGGAAAAAATATATCGAACAACCCTTCGTCTTGGACCTCATCTATTTGTGTCGATCATCCGAAAGTAAATAAGATTAAGATACAGCGGAATAATAAACGACTTCTTTTGTAGAATTTCAAGTTAAGCACAGCCGCGACTTAAATGACAATATGCGTATGACTATTCAAAAATTATCACCTACCGTGTGGCTTTTCCGCCATTGTTGTTTGTTCTCATCGGTCTGTCCATCTTAATCTTTCGTTGCACGAATGTCTTGTGTTGTTGCCTGTGCAAAATGTCTTAAGAGTAAACTACAGAACACAGGGCTCTTAACCATCCACTAAACGAACCGGCTCGTCGAGCTCGTTTGCTACGCACATTTATTATTTCTCGTTTTTTCATCCATTGCCGAGCCAAACGAGCCTTGATATATGCTCCTTTGAAAGTGGCTCTGTATTATGTAGTTGCTCTACTAAGCCTTCGATATGATCGCTTATCAAACGAATGATTATGCATACATGCATATACACCTCATCTGGCTGCTTCCATCTGTAATTCTGAAAGTACAAGAGAAGAATCGCGGACATTGGATGTTAGCCGTAATTGTCAGCTTTGTGGATCAAAAATTTCTGTAACCATACTCCTCATTTGGGAATGTTTCCACTGGGTTTTTGAAGTAGATGAGGGTGCATTTTCCCTAGCTGTGAGTTCACTAGCCCTAGCCATGCTAGTGAACCAAAGTTGAAGTGTTTTGATCCTTCCCTTTTATTTTCAACTGCGTCACAAGTTTAAGTGATTCTGTTTAAGAATTACACTTGCTGTCATTGGCTAGAACGCTCTTATCACCATTGGTTGCAGGACTCTAAACCAATCAACTGCAATGTGCGCAGTATCTTTAGGATTGATGACGCCTTTTTTACTGTCACATAGTTCTTTGTGTTGTATGGGGTGCTCTTGAGATAATCTTTTTACTTTAAAATGAGAACGGTCTGTCTTGCTGACCAACCCAAACAATGATTTTGTTTGTGTATCACTCTGATCCAAAGAATCCAGTGAGAACTCTATTTCATACACGCTGAAATACAATTAGCAGGTCATACACGGCTGCATTTTGCATCTACGAGTATTTTGGATCACTCTGACCTTCTATAGAAACAGCTGGTCATAAAACTTAAAGATTTTGGTGGCTACTGACCCTTAATCATTGGCTTTTAGATGCGTATTTCATTTTAATCTTCAGTAGGCATGTGGTTATTTTAAGAATATTTTTCAACAGAAGCTTTTTGAATGTGTGGCAGTGGTAAAAATATTTTTTTGGGTCATTTCACAGTCGGATCATTAATTACAACTCTTTATGACAAAGAAAGCTTAAAGATGATAGAAAAACAAGAGGCTGATCCTGTTTCACACACAAATTTTAGAAAAATTCTTGCATCATATATATTTAAAAGGGATAAGTTTAAATCTCTCATGAGGTCATGAATCACGCTTGCCTTTCTGTAAAATTCACATGTGACATGTCAGTTTTAGTCTTGATCACTCATCACCTACAAACTCTTTTCCACTCTCTTCAAAAACTGGCAGAAACAGAAGTAGTATATTTATACTCTGGAAGTTGAGCTTTTCAGTACTTGTTTGCTTGCCTGTAGATCTTGAATGGCCTGTCAAGTATTACATTGTCGACTGTAAAGAGTTTAACGGCTGACGTTTCGAGCACTAGTCATTCATCAGAGCAATTGCTAGCCCTTCGTCTATCCTTCTGATGAAGGGCTACCTCTCAAAACGTCAGTCTTACAAACCTCAACCTTTACAGTGGCCAATTTGCATTTCCAACTCAGTTGTTAACACTAAATTACCTGTTATACTCTCCCACTGATGCAGCACCACAGTTTTCTGTACAAACTTCCCCTTTATTCTCCCATAAAGTATAAGTTTGATAAACTGATCTGGCTGCAGACTGCTTCTTACCTAGGGGTGAAATGAAAGTGGAAGGTTGTTCACTGTTGCCTGTTTTCATTGTACTTGAGTATAAATTTTTATTGAACAAATTTAGAGTTGTGCTCCTATTGACGATAATTGAATCAAAATTTCAGAGGAAAATGTATTAAGTTTGAATTTCGTGCACTTAGATAGATGTGCTTGCAAATGAATGTCAATGTTTAGGCTATAGTTCTAGAGATTCTCAGTTGGTTTAGTTGGTACCTTGATTTTAAGAATCTTAAGTCTGATTATTCAGACCTTTCTTCTCCCATTTACCATTCAATATGTTGAATTTACTTGTTTGATACAGTTAAGTTTTATTTTTATAAATTAGACTTTCAATGAAAAATCTGATTGATCAAGAGCATTCAATCAATATATAGTAACATATGAAGTTGACATGATCACCTAATGTCTGCAATGGATTTTGCAGTAATTATGTCGATTGTTTTAAATGTATAGTAAAGCAATTATTGAATCTGGTTTTTACATGAGATCATGAATAGGCAAACCTTGTGTCTGTGTTATCTGTGTCAAGCTTTGGCTTTGGCAGATGCCTCAGACTTTGTTTGGTAATTCATGATATCATGCTCAATCTCATCCAATAACTTTATCTTTATTTATCAGATGTTTTGGTTTTGGTGTGTGGTATTGCTCAGTATTTTTACTAGTTGTGCCGTATTTTGACAAGGCCTAGGTGGGGTCAAAATACATATAATAAGGGTTGTGAGCATTGGGGCATAGGATACACAGCCAACCAGCTAAAAAGATTTTTTTACAGCACAAAATAACCAACTGTCAAGATATTTATACTCTATTCATGCATTATTTTTACTCTACTTTGTGCAGTTGGATGATAATTGCTTGATATAAGGGAAAAGGGTCACTAAGGTTGATTTGCTTTTTGTCTTAACTTTGATTTTTCACTGCTATAACTTGTGCTGCTTGCAAATTGGTTCAAAATATTGGACAGTTTTTAGAACCTTTCAACATGTTTCCTGTTGATATAACATGTACCCAACCCATGACATGGTCCCATGGAAAGCTACAGAAAAATATTAAAATATTTACAGTACACCACATGTTAAACCTGTCACCTGAGTTTCTTGTTGTGACAAATAAGTCTTGCATATGAGCCAAATACTTTGTGTTGAAAGAAGAATTAGCTGGTGTTTAATTATGTACATGTATGGTAACCCAGCTTATAATGTTAAAACATTTATAATTGTTTTTAATGCAAATTTGAATAGTATTGCTTTATGTGCCCTGCTGTACTCTGTTTGAATGCAATCTGGTTGGAATTCTGTATGTAGAAAGTACCTTTAGTCCATTTTACATGCCATTACAGAGACTTGACCAATGTTTAGATTGTGTGGAATGGAACATGTTAATTCATGAGTGGTGTTTTCTCTTAGATTTCTGCGTTATAATCATCTCTTATTCTTGTCAGGTCCAAATCATCCCTCAGCTGCTTACTAGTATGTTTAATCAGTAATGGTAATAGGACCAAGGGAGTCCAATTTGGTCTGTAATCATATGAGTGATTAACATAATCAGACAGCTACGAAGCAGGAATCCAATTTTTAAAACAATCTTTTGAGGAACATTAATTTTTCTTGGTTTTCTTGGATTTTATTTGGTTTTCTCTGTATTATTTTGAGGTATAGATTCCTTCAATTGAATAGATATCTGATATGAATTTTTCTTTTATATTTCAGGTAATCAAGAGATTTGATTGTTCAATTTTTACTGGTATTCAATTGGACCCATTGGGAGATTATTGGATTAGTCATCAATTCAAAAACCCAAGGAGCAATGAGATTTGATCCTGAACAACTTTACTTTTTCAAGCTTGTTCTTGTTATGTTTTACATGGAAGAATTATTGCAATTGTGGAAGGAGAAGTTGTGGGACCCTTCAAAGGCTTTCCTTTACTTTAATTGTGCTGAATTTCGTAGAGGTAAGAGCCCCACAAGAAATGACGAGGAGAGAGAATTATGTAATCATGGTACATCTAAATCTTGCTGGGAACAAAAGCATACAGATCTATATGGAGCCAGTCTTAAAGAAGAAACTAATGATGATGAGTCATTACAGGAGTTACCTGTCAATGCCCCTCCTAATGGAATACGTCATGATCATGTTCAGTGCAGGTCAAGAAACCAAGTTGAGAGGAAGGTAGCTTCAGCTGAAGGTCAGTTCCACTTGTTAAGAAATAAAGATTGTTTTGAGGCAAAGGCTGAAGTGATTAAGGAAGACACCTTTGAAGAAAAAGTTAATGATAATGAGTCATTACAGGAGTTACCTGTCAAAGCCCCTCCTAATGGAATATGTCATGATCATGTTCAGTGCAGGTCAAGAAACCAAGCTGAGATGAAGGTAGCTTCAGCTGAAGGTCAGTTCCACTTGTTAAGAAATAAAGATTGTTTTGAGGCAAAGGCTGAAGTGATTAAGGAAGACACCTTTGAAGAAAAAGTTAATGATGATGAGTCATTACAGGAGTTACCTGTCAAAGCCCCTCCTAATGGAATACGTCATGACCATTTTCAGTGCTGGTTAGGAAACCAAGCTGGGAACAAGGTAGCTTTAGCTGAAGATCAGTTCCACTTGTTAAGAAATAAAGTTTGTGTTGAGTTAAAGGCTGAATTGATTAAGAAGGATGCCTTTGATACTCTTATAGAAAAAACAAAACACACCTTTAATATGATTGAAAAAGATACTTCCAGAATTGATGAAATTGTTGAGATGGGTGAGGAAGACTTTCCTGCAGATAAGATTCAATTATTGCGAGAGAAACTGGAGGAAGAGAGGAGTTGTGCCAAACAATCTCAAAAGGGTAACCCAAACAAAGTCAAATCTGGAGATGATTCATCAAACTCTTGGTGTGCTAATGAAGAGGGGCTTAATAAGACTATGTTATCATTTACCTCTGAGGCTTCATCCCTAAACTCGGTTCCTTCACCATCTGCATCTGAGGAAGCAGCTGGAGAATTGACAGAGAATACTTATCAAGAGGATTATGCTAGTTCTAGGCCTTTATCTGATAGTTCAGCAGAGTTACAGGCTGACTTTTATGAGATGTCAAGTTATGAAGAAGGTTTACTGTCAAAGGAAAATCATCTTGACACAGAAAGTGTGGCTGTGAAAGATAGGCTTGAACAGAGAGACCAAGAGTTCAAACAAAGGAGACAGCCAAATTGTATATGTGCTTGCCATCAAAGCAATGATATTGTTGCTAAGCAGTTGCAAGTTAAAATTGAGGATCTTCTCCATAAACTAGATCAGTTACAAGCTGAGAATATATTCTATGTGGATCGTTGTCTTAAACAAGAGGAGGAAATAACTCGGTTGAAAGAGAATTTGACTCAAATTGAAGAGGAAAAACAAGGACTTGAATCTGAGGTGGGAAGACAGCTATTTCTTGAAGGCAAAAATAAACGTCATAGTAAGCTTTATCAGCCATTTACTGAACACTGTGATGAGCAGATTATGCCTAATACAGCCAGTGGTGCCTCTTTTGATGTTACTGGTTTGGACGGAGAACAACTTGATATAGCAGGTCCTTGTGACAATTCAGGTACAAATTGTTTTTATGTAGGAGAAACTTTGTGTACAGTAAGTGTTTACAGAAAGTGACAGAAAGACTTGAGTACTGTGTTGTTACCAAAAAGATTCATTATTATATCCACATGTTCTTAGAAACTCTTGGGTTGGCCATGTTGAAAATAGAGAGTACATGCAGGTTGAAGTTTTTTGAGATTTTTTTTTTTTTTACCCCCAAAAAAATGTAATAACTCTATGTTAGCGTACAGAGTGGCATGTTGCTTACATCAATCAGATCACCACAGTAGGGTATGTATCTCGCACCAATCAGATCGTCAGATTAGGGTATGCATTGCACCAATCAGATTGCTGCATTAGGGTATGTATCTTGCACCAATCAGATTAGCACATTAGGGTATGCATTGCACCAATCAGATTGCTGCAGTAGAAGCACACGAAAGAAGCTCATGTAGAAAAGAAGTATGAATGAGGCAGTCTTTTGGCATGTCAGATTTAGTGGCATGTGATATCAGTGTTGATGATATGACTTGGTTTTGTCCCAAAGTGTTTGGCATCAGCTAGTTTTTGAAATGGCTTGCCTACATTGTGAGGGGAAAGGAAAAGATTTTTGACCTGCTGGGTACCTCTTTTGAAAGCAAATAAGATCGGGAAATATCAAGTTAAATAAAGTCGTCGTCGTAAAAGTTTACGGCTAGCAGCTAGCAGCAAAACTTAAATTGTATGCATTAATTCATATGCAAAGTTATGTGAAATTATTTGCAGTTTCCAGGAATAGGAAACATTTTCCTTATGTTTTATGAGGTTGATTTCAGCTTCTTAGGATAAGTGAAGAAAATCAGATTCCATTCTATTGTTTGTGGTTTGCAGCAAGTCCCCCAAACTTATTTGTGTACAAGTATGCAAGATTGCTGCCGCTGTTCAAACGATTTGATTATTTTAATTTACATGAATTTTTGGTGTGAAAGTAAAAAAACGACAGAGCAAATCCATTTTTCTATTATCTGAAATGTTGAGCAATTCATTTACCAACAATATTGAATATAACTCTGCTCACCATCAACACTCATCTCATCAATGAACACAGGTAAACAAGAACAAGCATCTGTTAAAATTTTGATGACGATCTTCAGCCCGTAACACTGAGTGTGAATGAAAAGTATGAGCAAAGCTAAACCCCTCTTATGAAAACAGTATTTCCTGAAGCGTTGCACATAACATTTATAGTCAGTGTCAGCACTGCAAGCAACTTGTATTTACATTGCATGTTCATTGTATATTAACTTCCATTACTTCTTTTTGCAGGTCTTCTGCAATTTCTGATTCAAGAGATACTACTATCAACATCAGAGCTTAGCAGAATTAAGGTTCTTGTTAGACCAATAGTGGATAGTGAGAGACTTGCTAGCATTAGGAAAGGTTCTGAATTATTTAAAGAATTGGAATGCAGAGGAGAATTGTCATGCTCCTATGTTAAATGTCTTCTGGAAAAAATTGATCGTTCTGACCTTGCTGAGAAACTTGTTGCTTATAACAGGGATGGATTATTTAAAAGAGATGATTACTCACCTCAAGAAGGAAATCAGTGGTGTAAAGAATCTGAAATAATTTGTGGTGTAGATAATAGAACTTCAAATGAAGTGGAAGAAAGTAGAAAAATTTCTAATGGTGCTGATATTGATGAAGAGGTTCATGATGGCAACCATAGTAGCACCAGTTCCTCTTCTTGTCATTCAAATGATTCAAATGATTTTGTAGATATTTACAAAGCTGACTCACCTAGCGGGAGGTGTGGTTTTGCTTCAAGCTGTTCACAGTCTTCATCCAGCTCTGCTGTTAATGTGCAATCTTTGACTAAAGATTCTCACTGTGGTGCTTCAACAATCAAATTAAATCCTGATCATCATGCTTTGAAGACATGGAAAAATTCTGGTGAGAGTGCATTTGATATCACAAATGGTGAGGAGGAGAAGCAAGAAAGGTCTGTGTCTTTAATACTGACAGATGGATGTTTTGAAAGTGAAGAAGGGAAAGGAAGGAATGCTTCCAAGGAGGAAGGAGGAAAAGATGGCTGTGGTAACTCTACTAGCATCTGTGATGGTGCAGTAAATGCATCTTATTTGATTCCGCACTGTAATACTGTGGATGTTGTAGATGGTCCTGGTTGTACTTCAAGTAGAGCACCAGATAGTTTAAAGCTTAAAAATATATCTGATGTGAGTCATGTTTCTCTTCCACCTGGAGGCATGCCTCAGAAGCAAAATGTATCATCTGCAACAGCTACTGCTCAAAAAAGTGCAGTCCTTGTGCAGCCTGATTCTTGCACAAGCAATCAATCAAATACATGGGAGCATGCAGGGGCTAGACCAAAAAATGCTACTCAGAAGCAAAATTTTTCACATGTAAAGATCACTGCCAAAAAAGAGTCAGCCATAGATCAGTCTGATTCTTACACAAGTTATGAATCAATTGAATCCGAGCATTTAGGGGCCAGACCAAGAGACAGAACCCAAAAAGGGGACAGGTCATGGGATTCGTCTTCACTTTTCTCATCATTGGTTGACCTGGTTCCTCAACAAGTTGGAGAACCTGTGGTTCAGGGAGTGATCAATGCATTCTTGGCAAGACACTCCGAAGACAAACATCTTCATGAAAGTCTGTATTACAGCAATGCTGAGGAGATGTTGGCTAAGGATATGGATAGCATGATGAATATGATTGACTCCAACAAAGCAAAACCATACCTTGGTGACTGCCAGGCTGCTGCCATGTCAGATCCATATTACCAACCATATTCTTCAGCATTTCCTCTGCCTAGTGAAGCATACATTGGTGAAGATGGTTTCCCTTTAGATTACACTTTCAATGGTAATTCTGTACTTCCACCTGGACCCTCGTCCAGCTATATTGGAGCTAGCATGAGCCAAAACAGTTATTTCAACTCATTTAATCCTAACATAGGTGGTGACTTTGCACTTGACACAAGTGAGCCTCAACTTCTCCAAAATGGGCGTTTGACATCTTTGCAAAGAAGTGATTTCCTTCAGTCAGGGTTCACCAGTGCAGGACTGACCTCTGACTTTCTGAGAACTACAGGACCTCAAATGACACATTCTGTAATCGGTACTCAGAGTAACATCAGCTTTACTGGATCAACATCAATTTTACCTCCAGAGCCTTTGCAAATGCAAACACCTTCAACCACAAATGTAGGATTATTGGCAAGTTCAGCAGGTAGTACTCCTATTTATGGTAACCAAGCAAATGCTTCAACAGGTCTTCCAACTTCATCTTCATCAAGGACTAATGGATCCAACAGCAGACTTTTATCAGGGTTAGAATCTGGTAGGAATACTCATTTGTCACCAGTCTCTTCAATTAGGGATGGTGTGAATACATCTGGACATAGGAACTCAAGCAGCATATTGAACACAATTGGCGATCATTTGGCCTCTGGAACCTACAGAGAAGGAAACAGTGCTGGTGATTCTTCAAGCTCTTGCTTAACATCTACTGCTAATACAGGAGGAGATCATGATCAAAGTTCTGCCCAGTCCGGTGGTTCAGTGTCAAATGAAAACTATGGCACTGAATCAGTGGAATCCACTGACAACTCCTTGCTTGAATTGGAGCAGCGTGTGGAGGAGGCATGTGCTATGGTGGAAAGAGTGCTGAGGGAGAGAGAAGAAAGAGAAGAGTTTGGCCGAGAAATTGAAAGAAAAGAGCGTGAAATTCGAGCAGAAAGAGCTCGTAAGAAGAGAGAAAGAGAAGCAAGGGAGCTAGAGGAAGCCAGAGGATGGCCTCAACAGCAGGAACCAGTTACTGGACAGTCTTTGTGGCTTTGTGAGCATTACCAACGTCATTGTAGAGTTCGTTTCCCTTGTTGTACCAACTTCTATTCCTGCCACCGTTGCCATAACAACTCCAAAGAATGTGAAAATGAGGAAGCTAAAGCAAGCCATGCAACGCACCTTAAATGCAGCTATTGTCATCATGAACAAGAGGTAAATGAAGAATTCAACATTTTAAATCATGATTATTACACCTCAATTTTTTTTTTTGGTTAATAAGCACTCCTATTGAGTAGGCACCCTCATTCCAGTAAGTACCTCTATTCCATTTCAGTTATAGCACTGTTAGAGTACATGTACATTGAGATCAATGGTGGTCCATCCTCCTTTAATTACTTACTTAGAGCCTCCCAACAAATATGTAGTCTTGGTCAATGTCTCAACTATTGTGATGCCAAGAGTGCACAGTTCCTTTGAACAAAAAAATCCTGTGCTAACATTTTGCAATGATCGCTTGGCTAGTCATTTTCAAATGGAAAGATCCAGGGACAACAAATCCATTTTTTAGTCTATTTCATCCTCGCACAAATAAATATCAAAGCTTTGTTTCACATTCTACTGTTTCTCAATAAAGAAATAAGCACTCTGTCCCCATTAATCACCCTGTTTCCAATAAGTGCCCTCCCTAGAGGTACTAAAAGCAAATAGGTGCTCTGGGTGCTAAATCAAATTGTTATGGTAGCTTTATTTTTCTCTAACTTTGGGGAAAATTTTACTGTGGACCACATACACTGCTCTTTAGTCTGTAACTATCAAGTATAAAGACATTATTTACAAGCTACATGCTTGTGTCTGCCAACAAGAAGTTGCCAAATCTGCAACTTTGGTGACAAATTTAGTGGCCAAAATGTTTTCATTTGCCATGATGTTTTTACTTGCCATGGCAACCAAAGTGGCCTTATCTTGGAGTGTTTGCTCTTTGTAATTTCTTAATGAGGTCATTTGTGTTACAAACTCATCATTCCAACTGATGCAGTCAGTAATACTGACTGTAAAATTTGGCTTCTAAGTTAAGACAAGTGATTTTCTCGTTCACTGAAAACAAAAAATTAATTTTTTCTTCTCTTTGCAGATTGCAGAAGATAGTGCCAAATGTCGTAGCTGTGGAGCGAAGATGTCAGCTTATTTCTGTGGAATCTGCAAGCATTTCACAAGTATAGACAAAAACCCTTATCACTGTGATAAATGTGGAATATGCAGGTAAGTTCACTACATTGAAAAATTTTTAAGAAACACATTTCTACCATCCTTGAAATGTTTGATACCAATCACTTAGGACTGAAAGGCAAAAATCATAAAAAGTGCTCTTAAACACCAAGCATTAAATGCCTGCCTGCCAAGCTGCTAGCAGTTAACCTTTGTAACATTGTTATTTAATTTAGATGTATTGGGTGAAGATCTTGTGCTTCATCAAAGTTCATGATACTTATTGTATTTTTTTTGTTTGTATCTAGCTTTCTAGAAATTATGGGATCAGTTGTGGTTGGAAAGAGTTGTTGATTTTGTTTTGTTTTCTTAGGATACACAAAGACAAGTCATTCCATTGTGATGTGTGTAATGTTTGTCTTGACAAACGGCTTCAAGGAAAACACAAGTGCAGACCTGACTCTGGTCATGATGAATGCTGCATCTGTCTTGAGGTGAGCTGTTAACCTACAAGTACATATACCTGCTTCAGTGTGGGTTTTCTTAGTATTCTGTCAGTTGTAAATCTCATTTTCCATACCTTTTGTATAATTTGAAACTTTTTCAGCTCAAGATACTTGTGCATAACAACTGCCTTGCTTTTCTTGTCACATGAACATAACAAACATGTCTATACCCACAATTATGTGTATGCTTTCACATTCTCACCTTACAGGTTCATGGTATTGTGAACTTCTTATCATTTTAATGCAAATTATTATTCTCTCATTGTTCTTGTTTTTTTATAGGATGCATTTAGTGGATGTCAAATTTTACCTTGCTCACACAAAGTCCATCGCGAATGTGCAATAGCAATGATACAGAATGGGATGTAAGTAGCTATTTGATTTTGGAGTCCCATTTTTTAAGATGCTTTGCTGTAATTCATGTTCCTGGTCTAACTTTGTGTTTACTCTTTTACTCCCAGATCAAATTTGTAATTCTCCTTACTGTCAATCATACAATTATTATAATATTAAGTCAGAGAACTTTGTATTGGATTATTTTTCCCAAATTGATATTTTTCTTTATTCATATCTATTGTCTGGTTGATATTGTATTGATATTGTAAGGAGAAATTCTGTCTTGGTCACTCATGGGAGTTAAAGGGTTAAGTCTTCTGAGTGTAGGAAAGCCAATGCTGCTTGAAAGTGACTTGGGGCCAGAATTAAAGCTATGTGTGATGTTGTTCTTCATAGCATTATTTACATTGTTCTGTAATAACTACTTGAACTTCAGTAATCATTGAGATTTTTTGTTTATGTTTTAGTCGCACCTGTCCAGTCTGTCGACACCCACTATACAGCCCTGCTCCTGAATGAAAATCTCTCTTGACATTTACAAAGTGCTGCAAATTAACTTCTGCAATGATGTTGATTTGGAAATTATTCTTTGAGGCAAATCACAATCAAAGTGGTGGAATCAAGTACTCTCAGGAAGTAATTGGGGAATCACAGCCTGGTGAAGCCTATCCAATGAAAGAGCCAAGTAAGTTTGCCTTGTATGAGAGAAAACTTTACAATTAAGGTGTTTATGGTACCTGTAATTCAGTAAAAGAGACATTACAGTGGGATGGAACCAATCACTTTAAGTTTGTTAAATATTTCTTACTGCCAGCTTTAGAGCTTCTTCTAATGTTCATCATTACAAAGCACGCAAATTAATTCCATAGCTATGATTTCCCAGAGAATGATGTAATAATAAGTGGAGTAATTACTATTTTCATTTTTTGTTGTAGTCCTACCTGGTCAATGTGGACACAAGTTTTACAGTCCATCACCAGACTGAAAATTTCATTGGCACATTGGTTATGATTGGTGACAAATGATAGCACCAGGCTCTGTTAACTTTTAAGACAAGCCATATTACTTTGCTTGAACTGAAAGAAGTCAAAATTTAAATTGTGTTCAAGTTGTTTTTTGGGAAGACGAATGTGCACAAGTTTCCATCATGATGTGAGTAGGAATACCTTGTTACCCTCTAACTCCCAGAATTGATTGACCTCAAACTTTTCCCAAAGTTTCTATATAGTCCAGCAATCAAGGAATGAGAATAATCAAACTCATCAGATAGACGTTTTTGTCTTGATCTAGCATCAAATTCTGGTTATTAAATTGCAGTACAAGGTAATATGTAGCAGTTTGAGGGGAGAATTAACAATCAGTTCTTGGGAGTTAAAGGGTGAAGGAATTGATCAACCATTATTGGTTGTGCAATCGATTAGATGGCCATAAATTATATGTACTTATAGGTTGCAATCAGAGAGGTTCAGAAGTTTAGATTTGTTAGCCAGTGGGCCAAAGATTGATATTTGAACGTGTGGCTTGTTAAGGTTGTTTAGATAAGCAGGAAAAAAAAGGAAAAAAAATGAAAGAAATAAATACAATCGTTTATATTTGATATTACAGAATGGAATCATTTATTCCTAGTTCAAGTTAAATTTTCTGAGAAGACTGTTATTTCAAATCTTGTACTATATATATTTAAATATTTTTATTTATTAAAATGATAGAGGAAATGTTTTACATCGTGTTGTTGTGGTATTTTAAAGATTATATGTTAATTTTGGCTCTATTATAAATGTTCGTATTTCTCAACTTCAAATAACTTAAATCAATTTTTAAAAAAACCGAGGTTTCCTTCACGCTACATTAATTTTTGCAATGAACGTTTGCTTGCCAGTGTCATTCAAAAATATCTTCTTCGCATTAAGTTTAGTTCGAAGTATCAGATATAATATATTCTTTCGCGAGCGGCTTTCCGAGGTGTATTACAAGGTTTTCTGGTTTTCGTTTACCGACGAAAATTTTGTTTTACACAAGACGTGATTAGTATGATTACTGAAATACTTAGACGTTTCATTTAAAACTTAAAATGCTATTGCTTCGATTCTTTTCTTTTCTCACTGAAATGTTCTATGCAGTAACTTTTACGGGATAAATACTTTGCACGAGAGTTTTTGTTATTGTTTTGACTGTCAGTCAGGCCATGCCCCCGACCCAGCCCCTATATGGATGTTTTGTACTCGCGTTAAGTCTATCGAGTCGTAAATTTTGATTGAGGATGGCCGCCAAAGATTCATTTGAAATTATTGATGGTGAATCGCCAAAAGAGTTCACCGAAGGTGAGAATGGTTGATACCCTTCCTTTCTTTTTAATTTTTATCAAGAAACTAGATTTTAATTGACGGAACACTTGATTATTCGAATTTGACAGTGACTTGTGAGCTTGAGGAGTTCGAAGTACATTTTGAAGATCATGGTGAACCGGTAAGCTTGAGTTTCGTGTTCTAAAGCTGGCTATTGATCGAATTGAAATGGGCTGTCGATCTTTAATTAAGCTGCATGGTACTATTTTATGAGATGAATGCCCATTTCGTATAGCCAGCGAGTGTTTATCTAGTTTAATACGCCGCAAGTTGCGTCGTACATTTACTGTAAATTTACTGCTCCTGGGGAACTAGTGATTTCAATATTTTGTTTCTAACCGCTGTGTGGATTCTTTGTGCGGTAAGAGCTTGAATTATTTCACACCACTGATGGTTAACAAAGGAAAACTGTGAAATTACGAGGATTTGTTTATCTTATCCGGTTTTTGGTTTGTCACGTGATCCGAATATTGGTCGCGGCCATGACAGATTTGACTGCATAGCACAAAGAATCGATCGTCGAGCCTAAAACTGCTAAAACATTTCCAAAAATTCGTATTTGTATTTTCTTATATATGCTAAGGATCTTAAGCTTCAGAAGTTAAGTATCCATGCCATATTTCTTCAACAAACTAGCCTCACGATGTCTCGATGTTAAGTGTTGTGGTTGTTTTTCAGTTTCTTTTAAAACAGATATGGACTTTTAGAATTAAAAAAAAATCAAAACAAATGCTTAAGTGTAACATTTAGTACCAAAGTGTGTTCTGAACATTTCGAAGACGATTATTTTGAGTTTGTGGACAGACGAGCCAAGAGATTGAAAGATGGCGCCTGTCTTTCACAGTTTTTATGGTCAACCAGTGGTTATTTCAATAGGAAATAGTGTTTCGTTTCCGGCACGATAATATAAGGAATGGCTGTTACAGTTTCAGGAAAAGTTTGAGAATAATAGATTACTTTAAAGCAAGGGAAAGTCTGGGAATTCCGCTTTAAAATATACATCTTTGAGAGCTAGAAGACTGGGAAATTGAAATTTCAAGTAAATATGAAGTAGTTCATCTCGTATTGACCATTTCCATGATGAAAGATGGTAACATTTTCCTCTATGATGTTGAATATGTACATTGTTTAGAACAGTTGACAGCAGCTCCCTGACCACTATATCCTTCTCCTTTGTAATGCAAGTTGAAGTTGGTTTGTGAGTGTAATAATACATTTACTTGGGCTTTCAAGGAAATCAGTAAATTTTTTCCATGTTCCCTTGAGGAATTATGAATTCATGTACACTGTATGTAACTTGCAGAAAGTTTTCATCTATGGGTAGAAAGGGTGACTGTCAGGGGGATGTTTGAGGTCATTATCAGGATTCACTCAATTTGTCAGAGCAATTTACATTTGTCAGGGAAAGTCTGGGAATTTCAAAAAGTTATGACTGTGACAACCAATATGGTAGGGGTACTTTTGTATCAACCTGTATACTGCTCTAGTTTCTTTCTCTGTATCTCCTTTAACATGTGAAGAAGCTCAATGAAAACTGAGCATCAAACATGAGATTTATAAATCTCCTCAGGATTGCCTAGCAGTTCCTCATTAGCAGATAATATTTTGGGTCATATAGGTTCTCAAAACTTCTGAAGATGGTTACTAAACTTTGGGATTGCTGTTCATCTAGTTATTTAAGAACCATGACAAGCAGGCTCTGTATAGTTTCTGTATTCAATGAAACATGTACATCCAAAACTGTTATTTACTTGGCCTTATGCAACAAGTGTAAATTGCAGTACACTCAGTTTACGTTGCCAGAATTTAAAGTACATTTTAACCTTTTCACTCCCACATCACATTTAGTAATTCTCCTATATTGTGGCATTATACAAGTAGTATTTATATACACACTTAATTATTGCATTAGCATGCATTGGATATTCGATAACATCTTGAGTTTGGCTTATGGACAAGTGTTTTTTTTTTCATGGAACCAATTCGGGGGAAGTATTTGACAACAGATTTTATTCAAATTCCCTGAATCTGATTTCTTGCATAGAGTGTATGAATTAAGAGTTACAAACCTACTGAGACAAACATTTGGGTTGATTTCTAAATGGAGGAAGCTAATATTTTGGCTGCTTTAACAAATTTTGTAACTGATCGTTTATAACTCAAAGTTGTGGAAGTGTTTACATTTAATGTCATAATTTAATATCCATCCTGAAATTTGAAGGGAACTGGTGGTTTCTTTGTTATGGCCATACCTTTTTTTAGACCATAAAACCTTAATATCAGGTGCAGTTGTTTTTAAATGCTCAAGTGAAACCTCAAAGATGCATTACACTAAGTGGTTTCATTTTGTAGTTTGTGGCTTTTATCATTGTTATGGAGATGGCTTTGACTTGTATTTGAAGCCAAAAAGAATTCCGTTTTGGAACCCTTTGAGCTGATGTCGAGAGTTGTGGGAATGAGTGGTGATGAGTTTTACAAAATCTAAGCTAATGAAATATTTGTGGATATGAGGTGGAAGAAATTGCAAATCAGGAGACATTCCTGGTAGTTTGTTAAAACTGAGTATTTCACTTAAAATTCTTTAAAGCTTTTGCAAATTAAGCAGCATCTTTCTGTACTCTAGCCAAAGAGCAGCCAGGAGTCAGTAAAGGAAAATACTACTTTATGTTATCATTAATCCTAATGGTGTTTAAAATAAGAAATGAATCTCTACCTTCTCGCTGGTGTTACATAATATATACAAGTTAAATTAGTCCAGGGTTTGAGGGGTGAGAGGTGCACTTACAGTTTAGTTTTGAGAGCAGTTTACCTGTTTTGTTTTGGTTAACAGCCTGCAAGTGTTGGAGAACTATCTACAAGGAATGAGACAGAAACAGAGCAGCCCAGGCAGCAAGGACTGTCTTTTGGAACTTTTTGGCAAGAACACCATGACCAGATGGAAAAGAAGGCTGAGGATTGCGAGGAAGAAAATTCTGAATTGTTTCAGTTGGGGCAGGATGGTTTTAACACAAGAAAACAAGAGCGTAGAAGCAAAGTGCGTCAGTTATCTGAGAAAATAAACAGGGAGTCCCAAAAGCCAGGTAAGCTCAGGTTTTTCTGAAAAATGGTAATTTTTTAGTTGAAAATGTAAAAAAAATTTTTTCCTTTTTTTTTTTTTTTAATTTTTTAAACTTGTCAAAAATTAGGAAAAAAAATCAATTCTCTGAACTCAAATGACCTTTTACAATATAAATATTGAATACAGTATGTTCTTTTTCCCTTTGTTTTGTTTTGGGAGGAGATGAAATGTGCACTGTGTACAAGTTACTGACCTAGATGGCTTGATATTAGCCAAGTTTTCTTCTTGTGTTTTGTCAGCAAAGATGAAATCTAGGTCCATAAAAATGCAAAATCAAAGAATACCGTCCTATGATCATCAACTTGTGAATAAACAAACTTAGAAATCAAACATTCGAATTTGGGAACTTGTAATCAGTAGTCTTATAGCAAAACTTGTGTTGTAAAGATTAAAATGACCAAAAGAACTCCAAAATAATTTCAAAATTTTCAGTTTCACTTTGTAACTTTGCTTGAAAGCTTCTAAAAGTCATGGATAAATCTAAAATAATAAATCTCTGCACTAAAACTTTCTCCCAAAGAAGTAAGCAGATCATCCCAGTCTCAGGAAAGAGCACCATACAGTGAGAGGATGGTAAGAAGGATAGAGTCCAGTAGAGCTGAACCATATTTGGTCGAGTTTCAGTCTGGTCCAAAGGGTGGAAGCGGCTCACTGAGTTTCTCAATCCTATCAATGCCACAGCAGGGATCTGAGAAAGATGTTTCAGGCATTGAACAGTCTGCTTTGGGTGCTGGGCCAAGCCTTGTAACTAAGACTTTGCCTAACTCTGCTGAAGGTGGTGAAATTGCCCCCCATGTTCATAGCACTACCCAAATGCCAGGTAAGCTTAGCTTGGTCAAGAAACAATCTTTATACACACTTTTGCATCAAAATGCGCACACTCTTAAATGATAGAAAACACTTTTTTTAAAAGAGTGTGGTTAAAAGCTTTGGGTCTTTTTTCAAAGAAATGGAAAAGTGCCTGTTCAATTTTAATTTTCACTGACCAATGAAAATTGAAGCCTTCTGTGAAATTTTCTCTTTTTTCAATGTGATGTATTAAATTTGAAAATGGAAATACTTGAAAATCCAAATCCCATTTTACTCAGGATTTCAGTGTTCTCCTTTCCAGATGGTAACCAGTAAATTTAACTGCTTGTAGTGCCTCTTGTTACTGCTTAAATTACTCAAAATTCTAGAAATGTCAGCAGATAAAGACTGCTCTGCAGTTTGACACTTTCTTTTACTTGTGTTGCTTAACATAAGGGAGAACTTTAATAATTTGGAGTCCATCTAAGGACTAAGTCTCTGCACTAAAACTTTCTCCCAAAGAAGTAAGCAGATCATCCCAGTCTCAGGAAAGAGCACCATACAGTGAGAGGATGATAAGAATGATAGAGACCAGTAGAGCTGAACCACATTCAGTCGAGTTTCAGTCTGGTCCAAAGGGTGGAAGTGGCTCACTAAGTTTCTCAATCCAACCAATCCCATGGCAGGGATCTGAAAAAGATGTTTCAGGCAATGAACAGTCTGCTTTGGGTGCTGGGTCAAGCTTTGTAACTAAGACTTTGCCTAACTCTGCTGAAGGTAGTGAAATTGCCCCCCATGTTCATAGCACTACTCAAATGCCAGGTAAGCTTAGCTTGGTCAAGAAACAATCTTTATACACACTTTTGCATCAAAATGCACATACTCTTAAATGATAGAAAACACTTTTTTTAAAAGAGTGTGGTTAAAAGCTTTGGGTCTTTTTTCATTTTTGTGAAAGTTGTTCAAAGAAATGGAAAAGTACCTGTTCAATTTTAATTTTTTCTGACCAATGAAAATTATAGCCTTCTGTGAAATTTTCTCTTTTTTCAATGTGATGTATTAAATTTGAAAAATGGAAATAATTGAAAATTCAAATCCCATTTTACTCAGGATTTCAGTGTTCTCCTTTCCAGATGGTAACCAGTAAATTTAACTGCTTGTAGTGCCTCTTATTACTGCCTAGAATCACTCAAAATTCTAGAAATGTCAGCAGATAAAAAGATTTCTCTACCAGTTTGACACTTTCTTTTACTTGTGTTGCTTAACATAAGGGAGAACTTTAATTTGGAGTCCATCTAAGGACAGTCATATTAGGATGTCACATTAGATGACATCATCATAAACAACTTTGCTTCTTCATTTCCTAAAACAAATAAATTCTATGTCACTGTGCATCTCCTTAGTAATAGATAACAGAAGACACTTAGCTGCACCTTGTGTCTCACATTCTTGTTTTTACTACATTTTGATGTCATCTGTGATCATATTCCTTTTTTTCTATCCTTTGAAATGTATAAATTTCTGTATAACTGAGCTAACTAAACTGTAGGAAGCTATAATTATTTTAGTGATAATTGAAGAGGTGTGTGGAAAGAAGCCCCTAGTGACATCTGAATGAGTGCAGGAATCTCCTTTTAGCATTTAACCCCTAAGTTCTGATTGCAAATTCTCCCATCAAGCTGCTACACATCTCCTTGTAAATTAGTTATCAGAAATTGGTGTTGGATCAATATAACAACAACTTCCTGATAAGTTTGAGTATTCCCATTACCTGTTTGCAGGATAATGTATGGATATTATAGGGAGAAGTTACATGTTGATCACTTCTGGGAGTTAAAGGTTCTGTCTTGTACTTCTTTTTGATACTAATAGAGAAGATGAAGCTGTATCAGAAGTCACTTAGGACTGTATTTCATGCACCCCCTTCAATTAGTTTGTGTTTTGCTGGCATTGAAATATTTCAGGCATTCATCATTAGTTCATTGTCCCACGCCCATGACAAGACAAAAAACCTCTTTCTCTATTTCTTTACCAAGCTCAAAACTTACCATCTCTCTTATTCTATTTAAAAAACTATGAAGTAGATTATTTCCAAATATTTCCTGCCTCCTATAAAAAGGGTACATTAAGATGTTCATTTTTACCATCACTAGTATTGGGAGAATCACAGGCCCATGTGGCAGGACTGCCCCATCATACACCTGGAATACACCCGCAGTTTTTGGCACAGCATTCAACAGACCAGTCTCTCCTTAATAATAACCAGACAAGAACTAGAAACCCACAAATATCAGGCGCAAGGTCTCAAATGAGGCCAGATGTGGACAGTCAAAACATATTTCTTGATGGTCACACATACCCGAATCATAGAAACATGCCGACAGAGCAAGATGACACAGCTGGATGGCCATCTACCATGGAAAGAAGGAGAATCACAGAGAGGTGGTGTTCTTGCTTCAGATTATTGGTGAGTAAACCTTATTGAGTGGATTGATTAACATAATGCTCTAGGCTTTGACCACTTGGTCACCTGATGGCTGCTATTAATTTGCAGTGAAAATGGCTAATTTGACAACTTGTGTTCAATAGTCGTCCAAAACTGTAAGGTCTTCTACACTCAATTTAAACTGTGACAAATCTCAATGCAATCCTTAATGCTCTTTCTCTTTAATTGTCTTAGTTAAAAACAATGAAATAAAATAACAACAACAACACTAGAATGTGTGGTATGAACATTCATAGACAATTACATCTAACAGCACTCCAAGTACTTGCTGTTTAGATTGCCATGGAAAGTGAAATTATATTTTCAGCCACAAAAATTTGGCAAAAGTTGCCAATTGGCAACCAACAGATTTGAAAAAAAAGTTTGAAAAATCCATCAATGTTTGGTTGAATTATCAAACATACAAATCCAGTAATGCAAATGGAAGTACCTGCCAACCGATATGACCTTTTTTCCTTTAGTCACCCTTTTATTTTTTTTTCGGTGGCAACCATTTAACAGCTGAAGGTTGCCAAAGGGAAAGTTTGTGAAAAAGGGAACTTGGAGCCCTGTTTAAGGAAAAGTGTTCACATCAGCATGCAGTATAGTATGTTATGTAGTATTGCTTCAAGATTCCTGCATTTTTTCTGTTTTATTTTCTGATAACCATTTTATCACTTTTAGTTACTAATTAAAAATGGTTTCTTTGGCACACAGCCCTATTGAAGGGTTTGTTTTTAGCTGTTTGGGTTAGGGTTTATTTTGGGGGAATTACCAGTATTTGAATAAATTTTTCAATTTCCTCCTTTTCAATTTCCTTTCCTTTCCTTTCTCCTTTTTTTAGGAGAATGATGATGATTTAAGACCAATCAGTGAGTTATGTTTTAGACATCGTTACTGGTAAGTAGTTCATTGAGACACTTTACAGAGTGTAAGTGAAAAAGCTGTGGAAATTCTCAAAATTTGGCCTTTTTATCTATTTATTTGTTTATTGATATTTGCAATGTTTTGCAAGACAAAAGAAGTAATTTTCACTTAATCTTAAATTTTTCATGAAAATAATCAGAAATCTAATCTGAATTGTGGCAACTGACACAGAACTTTTAGTGGTCAGTCAAAAAACAGACAGTTGTGGCTTGTGCCTTGTGTAATGAGCTTACTAGAAAAGAGCCATTGATAAGTGGCTGATTTCCTTTAATGTCATATTTGTTTTGCTTATTAACACAGGGGACCTAGAACTTGTTCCCAAATGAACCAACATGTGTGCTGCTATTGCTTTCAGGTACTGTATTTCAGGGGAGAAAAAAAAATGCTCTGAAATGTGATGATTAAGTTTGTATTCAGTTTGATCACATTGAAGTTATGATGGATTGTTCTCTCTGAGAATTAACTTGCTCTTCAGACTTATAATAATCTACAACCTAAGGCTGCTTACATAATTATCCCTTTGAACAAGTGTCTGATACTCCTTCAAAGATAGACTAACAGTAAAAGAAACTTCATAAGTGTATCAGTAGCAATAATAAGTTATTTTGTCCAGATTTGGATCTTAATATGTTTGGTAGTGTTTGGATAAAGGGAAAGGAACACTTTAATTGAGGATTTCTTGTTTATGTAAATGTTTGTGTTTTTAATCTGTAATCATGTTTAGGACGGTGTGGGTGACTTTTTGAGCTTGCCATGCCATCATAAGTTCCACAGGGACTGCATAATTGCAGCAATTCAATTAAACATGTAAGTAAACATTTCAAGACAAAAAATCATGCATAGTGTCTTCCTCAAAATGTTTGGCACACCTCATAAATACATACTTTCCAGGAACAGTTTTGTTTCCTCTTTTATGTAAACTTGTCACTTGGCAGGCATTTTCAGGGGATTTCCACCAAAGCAGGTGTAGTAGAGAATGCTCTGCATACATGTGTTCTCTTGTCAGAAATATAGTTTTTTTGGTTGAAAATTTCAATATATATAGGTCTGCACATGATTCTGGCACACCCAGCTTCCAAAGCTTATTCTGCTTTGGTACAAAACATAGCATAAATGACAAGAGGTGTAGTAACTCATCTGACAGGCCATTATGAGGGTTTGAAACCCCACAGATTTTCAACACTAAAAAAGCTTTTAATTACCAATAAAGGTGGACAGGACTGTGCTTCTAGTTTGCCGAACCCAGGTTCCACAGGGACCTTACTTTTGTCTCTGGGTGGCATATGTAACTTCTCTGTTAAGAAAGTTCTTAACACTTGGGTACCTCAAATTTCTTGGATAACAGCTTGAGTGCTCTGTCAATGGATTTAAAAGAGCAGCTCTGGTTAGGCTTGGGAATGTAGGAGTTTGAGTAACTTGAGGGGGGCTGAAAGGGAGGCTATAAGAATACAGAGCTTTTGTTATGCGACCTTTCCTTTTAATCTGAAAAATCAAAGACTTCAGCTCTTGCTACCTGCAGATGTTTAGTATGAGTTGAGTTAGCCCTGTGTGACAATACATACATAATGTAGAACTGCATATTCCTTGAGTACATGAATATCACAATACCTATATAAAATTCAAATTTGATGAGCTATGACCAGTTTTTACTCCTTTATATCAACTTGATATTGAAAATCAATGACTGCTGTTAGCTTACTGATGCACCATTGGGTTAAACTACTAACTTTGCTTTCAAAGGGAGTTTGTCTTTTCAAGAAAATTTTCATCTCTTTCAGGTTGAATTGCCCAATTTGTGGACAAGCCTTTTTGCATTTGCCTTAATTAAGAAAGCAGTCACACCTGTGTTGGGATATGAAGATATTCCTGGCCATACCTGAACCAAACACCATTTGTGTACACAGAAAGGAGGTTAACATGTGTCATACAAGATGTTAAAGCTGATTTTTTACACACGGTTTAAAATTTTTTTCTTCGTAGAAGCTGCTTAAACCAATGTTTGCCAACTTAAAATGTAGCACACTGAAGATACAAGTCCATACTAAATTAATTTATTCAGTCAAACAAAGTTGTATGTTTTATATGTATGTTGAGTTACGATTTCAGAGTAAAAGGTTGATAAAAATCATTAGAAGACAATGCCAATTACAATTTTAAATTACCAGTAAGTATGCTAAGATGTTTGCACACTTTTGGTGCATGTGCAATCCCACATTGGTCAAAATTTGTGGTGACCGCTGGGGATAGTGACAAATATGGTTGTCGCCAAGAGCACGGACTACACTAAACCACTTTTGCCACACTCGGTTCATATGTGATGACCCTGAGCCAAATATTTCCCTGTTCGTCCCTGCCACTTAGTAACTAAGTGAAGCAACGGGTAGTTTCAAAAACGAAGACCCATTACGAAAACGAAGACCATCACGAAAACGAAAACACATTACTAAAACAAGTTCAAAAGAGGTTGGTATTACCTTTGTGGACAAAGATTATGTTCATGAGAAGGCGACAGATTCGAAAGCATGCTCAGATACCGATCTTGGCGAAGATCTGTTCCATTACGTAGAGTTTTGTCATAAAGAAAATAGGGATCTTTCGAGCAAGACTGAGTGATATATACTTACCTTGGTAGAAAAAAAAATTGAACGTCAGCTTTTTCGGCGCTACGGTACTTAAGCGTTACTTGAAAAAACGGCAAATGTATGCATTATTTAAGGCCATGCTGAAATGACAGTGTGCTACAAACGTGGACCGCCTATATATCGAGCAGTGCGCACAACTGAGTTGGAAAGTCGAGTATAAGAAAAACAGTTTCTCAGCGAAGTAATCGTGGAAGTCCAGCTGACTCACACCAGCATGATTTAAATGGAGATTTAAAAGAAGAGACAGGACATGCATGTGGGAAATGCGTTGCGTGACGCTTTAAGCGCTGGAGGTCAGGATAACATTACAAAAGATACCTGTCAAGGAGAATATATGGAATTCATTTATAGGATAACTGTATTAATTTGATTTTAATTGCGTTTCCTTAGCTCTTTTTTTTTTAACGTAAAGCAAATATATTAAGCGAATCAAAGAATGCGATGACATTTTACTAGCAGCAAAACAGACAGTACAAAACTAGCAAAGTAGGCTTTGTATTTAACGTTTCCGGAAACTCATTTGAGTGACATTTCATGAATGATCTTGTTGATAATTAAGTACCTATGGGAGGCTCTGAAGTGCCGTCTTCAAATTTACGGTGCACGTGGTTTCTTCCACGTGGCGTGCGTGACCCAAATAGGCAGCTATCACAGTTTAAAAGGGGCCCACTAGTAATGTTAACGTTTGTTGTTTTGTAACAATTCAATACTTAATTTCCAATTCTTTGAAAACGTTTTCAAGCTTACTTAACACGGGTTGAACCTCGAACAGAATTTTAAATTCGTCGAAGGGATCGTACAATGAAGTTCTTGCACTGTCTCTTTTTGTGTTAACGTTGTTTTGTCAGCTTTAGAAGGAATTTTCCTACGAACCTATCATGACTTATTAATCATAAATATGCTAAATACATGTGCGTAATATGTTGCGCTAAATACTTATATAGCTTTCTTAACACTTTTTAAATTACTTGTGATGTGTAGATTTATTGTCTATTGTTACAAGGAATCAAAATTCGCAAAGTTCTTGAAATTAATAATGAGAAGACAAGAGAATACCAACTGTTGATATTCTCTAGCAATAATAATAATAATAATGATAATAAAGACTTTATTTCAAGAGGGTGGCGTTTAACAGTCAAAAGGCTAATAAACTTGTAGCCCTCCGAACATTATCAAAATAACCCGTTACAAATCAATTTAGTTAGGGAGCTATAAAAGCTGACAATACAGAAAAAATATACATACAAATCCAAATGTTTCTGCGCCTAAAAAAAACCTTTTTCCACATGTTAATTTTCAAACACTTCATAGAATGCACTTAAGGGGCACGTTATTCCAAATTCTTGCTGCTAATGCGGCAAAGGATCGGCTGCTTTCGGACTCACTCACGCTTAAATTTGAGATAGATAGCATTATAACTAGCACACCGTGTTCTTCTGTTGTGTCGATCATTACTAATTATTAAGCGTTCATTGAGATAAGTCGGAAGAAAGCCATTTATGCACCTGTGAAGAATAGCACATTTGTCGATTTTACACTGTTCATTAAAAGCTATCCCACCCAGCCCATTGAAATAGGTGAGGTTATCGATAGTTTTGATTTTTGCAGTTTAGGTACTGACTTGTGTCAAGCTGATTTGGAAATTAAACAAACACGCATGTGTGTGTATCCTTGAATAAAGGGGTAAGTTTCTAAAGAAACTGTGGTGCTGCGTCGGTGGGAGAGTATAGCAGGTAATTTAGTGTTAACAACTGGGTTGAAAACGTAAATTAGCCACCGTAAAGAGTAAAAAAGGTGACGTTTCGAGCGTTAGCCCTTCGTCAGAGCGAAACGTCAGCTTTTTTACTCTTTACTGTGGCTAATTTACGTCTTCAACCCAGTTGTTAACACTAAATTACCTGTGTGTATCCTTGGCCTTACAACGGAGTATCCCTATAGTTTGACATTCGCACTAGAGATTACTGGGCGCAGCCTATGCTAAAGAAACAAGGATGCGTTTGGAATAAATTATTTTGTGCCAAAAAAAAACCCAAGTTCTTGCCGTGACACTACAGAAGACGATAAACACCTCACGATAATTTCAGGATGACCCGTGATTGAAAAAAAAAACAGAAAACTCTTCCTTACAAAAATATCTTAAAAGGTGTGATCGGCATATTTTAAAAGCTTACTTTTCCTCGGGGAAGAAGTTTTTTTCTTTGAAGAGAGAGCATTTTATTGTTTGAATCAACATATTTTGATTAATAAATCCGAATACACTGGTTTTGTGTAATTTGGTTTAGTTGAGTGTAGTTAGAGTAGTTTGTTGAGGTTGGTTGTAATTCGATGTAGCCCGGTGTAGTTGGTGTGGTTTTGTGTAGTTTGGTGCAGTTGGTGTAGCTTGGTGTTGGTTTTTGCTGTTTGTGTAGTTTGATGTAGTTTGTTGTAGTTTTGTTGAATTTGGTTTGATTTGGCGTAATTTGGTGTCGCTGTATTTAGTTTGGTGAACTTTATGTCAGTTGGTTTACGGAAGTTCTGAAGGTACTGTGAACTGCGTTAAACTACACTTAGTCGTTGTTTAATTGGTAGTGCGGCTCCCTACTTGCAATTTGCGACCATTTTTAAAATACTTGGAAGATGAGGAATTAAATGAAAATAATACAGAACGGAAATGAGAATTATATTTGCGTCTTTTGATGAATTGTACATCTTTTGTTCTACCTCAGAGGGATGAAGGTAGCTCCTTTTTCGTAATTGTCCAGTGTGCGCCCTTCCTAAGTATGTGATCTTGGTTTAATTTGGGTTAGACGCAATTTCGAAATTATAAAGCCTTTTTGGTCATCTGAAAAATTATTCATTAACCGAACGGAAATGGTAAAGTTATTCTTGTTTTTGGTTTTCTAGTGCGGCATGTCAAGAATTGGAAACGCAAAAACAGAAGTTGATAGCTTATTATTTAAAACATAATCCAAGTTTACTTTGGCAAATGCGTCCAAATTACTCTTAAAACCTCTTAAAGAATAAGATTACATGCTGGAGTGAGTCAGCTGGACTTCCACGAATACTTCGCTAAGAAACTGTTTTTCTTATACTCCATTTTCCAACTCAGTTGTGCGCACTGTTCGATTGATAGGCGGTCCACGTTTTTAGTACACTGTCATTTCAGCACGGCCTTAAATAGTGCATACGTTTGCCGTTTTTTCAAGTGACGCTTAAGTACCGTAGCGCCGAAAAAGCTGACGTTCAATTTTTTTTTTCTACTAAGGTAAGTATATATCACTCAGTCTTGCTCGAAAGATCCCTATTTTCTTTATGACAAAACATTACGTAATGGAACAGATCTTCGCCAAGATCGGTATCTGAGCATGCTTTCGAATCTGTCGCCTTCCAACCATTTTTTGCCAAGGTATTTTCTTTTCAGTTGACCTCTTTTTCAGGCGTAGCTAGAGGGCTCCTGAATATTACGGGTGCAGTTGCTGGAAACCGTAAAGTCCATCAAATAAATACTGTATTGTGTTAATCTGTTTTTAAGACATCTTTTCAGATAACAATCGTGCGATCGTATCGAGCCGCCATGTTTGTTTTGCATGTTGACAATCTTTTTGCTCATGTTATGTTCGCACCTGGATCTCGCGCGGTCAAAAAACACTATGGAGCCTCCTTACAGAAAAGCTGCTTTTGCTTATGATGGTAATCTCTTCGGTGGTTGCGCATATGTAACGCTTCAACGCGTTTGAGATCGTCTAGAGAGTGAAAGAAGCTGAAGAAGACCTTGATAAATGCTTTGTTGTCTACCGTTTGTAAATTAAAATGATTAGAATAATTGGAAAGTCAGTTTGCCTACGAGATGAATGGTTTTGATACCCATTTCTCAGCTTACGAACTGAATTACTCACAAATCTAATTAATTTCCTTGTGTTCATAGTTTCGAATATGATAGTTTCAGTTCTTCCTTCAGCGCTGAAAAGTGACGTGGCGGAATAAAGAGCTTCCGTTAATCATCATGCTGTTTAGAAAAGAGCTCAGTCTAGCGATAGTAGTTTATTTACATAGCGAAGATATATCAAACACACCTCCTTTATTTCGAGAAAACCTAGAGTGGCCCATTTCCTTGAGGTAAGCGGAATTTATCACGTTCAACATACTGTTACTGCCGAATTACCATCAGTTTACAACTGAAAGTGCTTGTTATAGCCAAATTTAAACTTATTCAACTAAAAAAATAAAAAATACTTCGTGCAATATCGACCAACGTGCAATATCAACCAACAGTGGTTGTCACAGCAAACATCAGAATATTGCGCATATTAAATGTGAAGAGCAAACTGTCACAGCGAACGAAGAGTGGAAGAATGTGATTGTTTTTAAAGTTTCAGTGTGTTGTGACCTCTGTTCATAGTAATATTAACTTTGATTTACTAGTTATGACGAACCCAACGTCGATTACGAATCTTTCTCAAGACTTAACATAAACGACTTAACCAATACTTCCCTTGCGGCGTCAGAAACTAAATGGAGCGATTTGCCTTCGCTAGCACAAGGAAGTA